TCGCCGCTTAAGCAAAAAACGCATAAGATAGTGGTTCTAGAACTAACAGCTATTAAAAGTACATTTTAGATAGCAGTTCTCTTTAAATATGTTTGGATTCTTCTGTTTTTGTCTAACCCAATGCAGGGAATCTAAGATTGGAATCCTAACTTAGGTGGGTAACTCAGCATTGGATTCTTTACTTGTGTGCATCAGAAAGACATGGGAATCCTGACTTCGGTGGGTGACTCAGCATTGTAAATAGTTGCAGGTTTCCTCGCTCAAGCGATGGGTTTCTAGCTTGAGCGAGAATTGACCATAGCTAAACGTCCAACGCAGTTAGCCACATAATGCAACTTGGGCCACCACATATTTCAATAACTTCTCGCTCAAGCGAAAGTACCCGTCGCTTGAGCGAGACAGAACCCGAGAGTCCCCCTTGTTTGATGGCTTCGTCGCTCAAGCGATGACTTTATCGCTTAAGCGAGTATTGACCGAATGCCGAAACGTCAAACGCAGTTAGCCAAATAATATAACTTGGTTCACCACATATTAGAATCACTTGTCGCTCAAGCGTTCATAAAGTCGCTTGAGCGAGACAGAACCCGAGAAACCCCCATTTTTCCAGGTGTCCTCGCTCAAGCGATGTGTTTTTCGCTTGAGTAACCTTAGATAGCGGTTGATAACAACCGCTTTTAAAAATATATATTAGATAGCGAGTTAGGCTTTAACCGCTTTCTAATGTAGTAGTTTAGATAGCGGTTGGCCAAATAACCGCTATCTAAAGTCGTATATGATCGACTATAATTGGATAATAATCGATCATACTTTTCGCTCAAGCGAAAATATCCTTCGCTTGAGCGAGAATTACCCCTTCGTTACAGATTTTATCGCTCAAGCGAAGGGTTTCTTCGCTTGAGCGAGAATTTACCCGAGATTATCCCTTTGTTACAGATTTACTCGCTCAAGCGAAAGTTTTCTTCGCTTGAGCGAGAGTTCATTACGCGAAATGATCGATCATAATATAAAATGATCGATTATTTTATTATGTGAACAGTAAACGATGCTAGTTGTGTAAATAAAGTTGCAGAGGTGCTATTTTGGAAAATATTTTTGAAAACAGTATTATTTATGAAAAAAAGTCTCACTATGCAGGGAGGATAGTTTGGTATTAAGAAAATAGGGCAGAGTTAGGAAGAGGTTGGTGGTGAAGAAACCTTGTTCCATGGAGAATGTCCTCTTCTGGGCACATGGAAAATTTCTAGACATTTTTAATGTATTTTATTAACTTTTTACCAGGTTCTCTAAATAAATCCTATCCATTCAATTTTAAATCAACATCCTCATTCGTATTAAGATTAGTAATTTATTAAAATTATTAAATTTAAAAGGATGAAGATGAAGGACTTTTTTTCATAAATAATACTGTTTTCAAAAATATTTTCCAAAATAGCACCTCCATGACTTTATTTACACAACTAGCACTGTTCATTGTTCACATAATAAAATAATCGATCATTTTATATTATGATCGATCATTTCGCGTAATGAATTCTCGCTCAAGCGAAGAAAACCTTCGCTTGAGCGAGTAAATCTGTAACAAAGGGGTAATCTCGGGTAAATTCTCGCTCAAGCGAAGAAACCCTTTGCTTGAGCGATAAAATCTGTAACGAAGGGGTAATTCTCGCTCAAGCGAAGGATATTTTCGCTTGAGCGAAAAGTATGATCGATTATTATCCAGTTATAGTCGATCATATACGACTTTAGATAGCGGTTATTTGGCCAACCGCTATCTAAACTACTACATTAGAAAGCGGTTAAAGCCTAACTGCTATCTAATATATATTTTTAAAAGCGGTTGTTATCAACCGCTATCTAAGGTTACTCAAGCGAAAAACACATCGCTTGAGCGAGGACACCTGGAAAAATGGGGGTTTCTCGGGTTCTATCTCGCTCAAGCGACTTTATGAACGCTTGAGCGACAAGTGATTCTAATATGTGGTGAACCAAGTTATATTATTTTGCTAACTGCGTTTGACGTTTCGGCATTCGGTCAATACTCGCTTAAGCGATAAAGTCATCACTTGAGCGACGAAGCCATCAAACAAGGGGGACTCTCGGGTTCTGTCTTGCTCAAGCGATGGGTACTTTCGCTTGAGCGAGAAGTTATTGAAATATGTGGTGGCCCAAGTTGCATTATGTGGCTAACTGCGTTGGACGTTTAGCTATGGTCAATTCTCGCTCAAGCTAGAAACCCATCGCTTGAGCGAGGAAACCTGCAACTATTTACAATGCTGAGTCACCCACCGAAGTCAGGATTCCCATGTCTTTCTGATGCACACAAGTAAAGAATCCAATGCTGAGTTACCCACCTAAGTTAGGATTCCAATCTTAGATTCCCTGCATTGGGTTAGACAAAAGCAGAAGAATCCAAACATATTTAAAGAGAACCGCTATCTAAAATGTACTTTTAATAGCTGTTAGTTCTAGAACCACTATCTTATGCGTTTTTCGCTTAAGCGGCGATTCTTCGCTTGATTATGTAGCTCCTGCAGAATTATGCAGCTCCTGCAGAATGAGTTTCTTCAAAACTTTTCACAAAACTTTCTAAGTTATTTTAATTGATAACAACAAGTTTTAATTGATTAGATTAATATAGTTAGCAAAAAGTTCCTTAAATAACCTTTGACTTCATCAAACCCACAAAATCTTCGTTTTATTAAATGATTCAATAAGATCTTCATCACTTTCAATTAATTGAAAAACTCCTAAGATTCATACATTCAATAAGATATTTCTTAACTCCTAAGATTCATACATTGAGATATTTCCTAAGATTCATCACTTTATCTCTTGAGCGAGTATTGACCGAATGCCGAAACGTCAAACGCAGTTAGCCAAATAATATAACTTGGTTCACCACATATTAGAATCACTTGTCGCTCAAGCGTTCATAAAGTCGCTTGAGCGAGACAGAACCCGAGAATCCCCCATTTTTCCAGGTGTCCTCGCTCAAGCGATGTGTTTTTCGCTTGAGTAACCTTAGATAGCGGTTGATAACAACCGCTTTTAAAAATATATATTAGATAGCGGTTAGGCTTTAACCGCTGTCTAATGCAGATAGTTTAGATAGCGGTTGGTCAAATAACCGTTATCTAAAGTCATATATGTCAAAGTGATTGACTATAATTGGATAATAATCGATCATACTTTTCGCTCAAGCGAAAATATCCATCGCTTGAGCGAGAATTGACCGGAGATTACCCCTTCGTTACAGATTTTATCGCTCAAGCGAAGGGTTTCTTCGCTTGAGCGAGAATTTACCCGAGATTACCCATTTGTTACAGATTTCCTCGCTCAAGCGAAGGTTTTCTTCGACTGAGCGAGAGTTCATTGCGCGAAATAATATTATTTTAATACGTAAATAGTAAACAGTTGCGCGAAATAATATTATTTTATTATGTGAACAGTAAACAGTGCTAGTGTAAATAAAGTTGCAGAGGTGCTATTTTGGAAAATATTTTTGAAAACAGTATTATTTATGAAATGAAAAAAAGTCGAAGATGAAGAATATTTTTATTAAATTATTGTTAGAGTAGATGTGAAATATAGAGAAATTAATAAGCTTAACCTATGTATACATGATGATGCATTAATCTGAGTATAGGTGTGGTAACAATGATTGGAAAGCCATCCCTTTCTCCGTTTGTCTCGCTCCCTCTGATTGATGGTCCAGTCGTTTGAAAGCTTTAAAACTCCCAGTTAGATCCAGCTCTATTGAGGGCGAGAGCCCAATGCTCGATAAACCAAACCAGTCACTTTCTACACAATAATTACTTATGTCAAGTGTTACTCATAGATTAAGGAGATTCTCAAGTGGCCTTTCCAGAGACAAACAAGAATAAGAGTATGTATACATAACTCACCCACAATGGTTACTGAGAAGCATCAAAATCATCAACAAAAATTACTTTTTTTTAATCTCATGGATTCGCGTACCCAAATTCTTGGATCATAATCGTACACATCAACATTTGAACATCTTTATGGAATGCAATTACTAATCATGTCATGTATTCCTTATTTTCTCATTTTTGGTTTTGAGTGGAAATTAAATAAGTTAGGAAAGTGTGAGTGATGGTGTGCATTAATATTTTATTTACGTGACCAATAATGGGGGAAAACAGAAATTATATCATTGTGATTGTTGTGGGGACCTGGTGTTAGTAGGGTCTATAAAGAGTGAGAATCTGATAATAATGATGTTTCCCACCGGCATGGTCACGGACAAAACCTATGTCCCCATAAAGTTTCTCGGGTCACTTCTTGTTATCATCCATGGTTGAATATTTAGATGGTGGTACAACAAACGCCGATATATACTTTTTGAATTTAAGCAAAGTGTGATAGTTAGAGAGTAAAAATTTGAAGAAGAAAAGAAGTAAACGGAATATCGAGTAACGAAAGTTGAACGAGGTTGAGTGGTAGCTTTAAACGGGTTAAGAAAAGTTAGAGAAGACCCCATGTCCATGTCTCGTACAAGTAAGTAGTCAAGCAAATTTAGCAGTTCTTCATTTATAATCATTGTCACCAAAGACTAACATTTTCAATAATGTCAGTTCTTTGAACGTGCATCAGAGAAGAAGAGGGAGGGTGAGGAATTGCAATGAAGATTCACCAAGTGAAGTCATGTTGATGCATCAAGGGAATGAATTAAGGTTTAGAACTACTTTTTAGAACAATTCTAAGATAATTAATTGATAAAAATAAACTTTTTATATCAGTTAAAATGGATATATTTATTTTCTTAAAAAAAATAAAAATTAACCCAAACTATTTATTATTTTTTTTCATTTTACTTATAAACTACTTTTTATAATTATTGATGCATATATATTAGTGATAATATATACTTTCAGTAACTTCTCTAACTACGTATATTCGCACAAGAGAATCAGAATTCTGCAGTTTTTCATCGATAAACGTAAAATACGCGTATAAGTTTTGTAAAATATTAATTTCTACAACTTGATGTAACCATTGTTGATCATCCACTCCAAACTCCAGTGGTTGTTGACGTTTTCGAAAGCCCAATAAGCCCACCCAAATGTTGCTCGCCCATAAACGTCTAACTGAGCCCTGCCGAATCTTTCATAATCATCTTTTGCAGCTCCGTTGACTTGCCATTCAGCAACCCATTCACCTTGATTTTAAATAATAATGTTTAGCTACTTTGAAGCTATAATTAAAAAATACTAGTAATAATTTTGAATTATTAACTTACCTACAAAAGTAAGAGGGCCATTTGAAGTTGTAACATGAGTGAGCTGTGATGAGCGATTGTTGTAGACGAAATCAATGTTCTGTTGGACAGTCATGCCACTGAATAGATATTGGAAGAGGTTGTAGTAGTGAACATCAATCACAGGTCGCATAAAACCATTTGTGAGAGGGAAGAGTTCCCTGGGATCTGCAGGTCCTAGCCTATTTGATAACACCACATAAGCTGTGGAAGAGCTTCGTAACCACCCTTATAGTACTTGTTCAAGGCCTCTAGTGTCACACCGGGTGAGAGAGGCTCATTTATTAGCCCAACTGCATAAAGGCTTGGGCTCTTTGCATACCTGCAATGCATCCAATATGGATCCGATTATATACCTGGCATGGAAAATTGCATATACCATGTTACAATTAGAACTACAACATATGATTGATGTATAAAACCTCGCTGTGAGGAAGTCTATAACATCAACTGTTTGTTGAATGGTTTCATCTGTTTTTCCCCATTCTAGTGAACCATCTCTTGAAGAACAGATGGATCATCATCTCCCCAACCGTTGACCTCTAATGCATCAGCAGTCACCACATCGTCTGTCTTTGCCTGCAACCGCCTCATCATCAATAATTGTGTCATGTGAAGAATACGATAAAATGTAATAATTGGTGTTAACCCAATAAGAACTAATAACTATTTTCATGTCAACTCAAACAATCTCTATCTATATACGGTGCCATTATTATTATTATTTTCATTTCCTTATTATTTCAACTTCTTTCACCCAATAAAAGTAGAAAAAACAAGAAGCAGTGGAAACAATCACCTGCGGGAATTATCCATTGGAAGCTCTGATTCGAACACGGTTCGAGTTACCACTTTCCTTTTCAACATGAAATGTCTTAGAATTAGTGGAAATATTGGAAACAGCAACGACTTTAACCCCATCTAAACCCACAAACTGTTTGTTGAACACCCTGAATCTGAAAGTGTTCTCGTCTAACCTCCACAACTGTACACAATATACCATCATGATCAAAATGTAACATGGAATCACTTTTTATCACAGTTGAGCTATAATCATTTAATGAATGAATATGGTCTCTCACTGAAAATGTTTCCCAACCGGAAGCGGCTGTGCGATTTGCAACTATGACGGTTCCTCCTCCGGACTCAGCGCAAAGATATTTTCGCGTCGTCACGGACTTGAACTGAAGACCAATTCCATCCTACAAAAATTGACAGAAAGATTTTCCATGAAAGAAGACAGCTTTAGACATATATGCCTAAGAAAATATGTACATATGATAATTGTGACACAATTATACATGTATTCACTGACCAAGAAGTCCTTATTTGGAATGCCATCAAAGAGAGAAGGTTTGATCCAACCTTCAGTCACCAACCAACCACCTAGATTAACTGCTTTCGCTCGAAACTCCGGATTTGGTCTTCCATGGGACAAGGAAAGAACACTGAACAAGGTGAGCAAGTTGAGAAGGCATATTTTAAGGTTGACACATCTCATCGTCATGATTAGATGTGTCTGTCTGTGTTCTTTGTCCCATTGAGATGATTTTGCTCACCAATTATGTGTATATAGGGAATGAAGAAGTGTGGTCTACAAACTCTGATCAATCACAGTTTTAAGTTGTGCTGAAGTTGTTGATTTTTTTTTTATTTTTTTTTTATAAATAATACGAAATTTAGACTGTTAGTTAATTTCTAACGAAATTACATATGAAGATTGTTTTAAGGTACACAACATAAGTTAAAAAAATTATTTAATAAAAGTTACTGTTGAAGTACATCACATATACAATTGCTACTACTTGTGTAAGAAATTGGTTTAATTTTTTTTTCAGGTTAAAAAATAGATTTATGGACAGGTAAAATTTGCTAAAAATAATAAAAATTCGTCGAAAAATACACATTCTCCACGAAAGAAAATTTGTTAAAATTTTTATTATAGATAAATATTAGATAAATCTATCAAAAAAATCATCATAAATAATTACTAATAGACTATTTCAAAGTAATTGTTACCGAAGAATATATTTACAAAATTTTTTATTTTATTGACTATACCAATTATCAATGAATTTTTGTCAATAATATTCAAATTTCTCTCCAACTCCATTCTATTATAACCATTTTCCTTACATAACATACATTTTATACCAATAATTAAATTTTCATCAAATTAGAATTGAATTAAAAATAAACTAATACACTATAACATATTATATGTAAACAATATTTTATAATTTGTTTAGAATCAGTGTCAATGGGAGAAAGAAAAGTTTACAGCATAATAAAGACAACAACAACAACAATATTTTCAACATGGACTTAAAAAACAACAACAATATGGACTTAAAAGACATGTAACCTAGTTTATGTAAACAAACAAAACATTATATATAGCCTAAAACACCACATGAATAGGACAATTAACTTAATAGCATACCAGTCACAATTAAAATGAAAAAAAGGATTCAAAATCACATTAAAAATGAAGGTACTTGAATGGCTTTTATGTTGAAGTATGTGCGGTAGCAACTATAATAACCGCTAGGTTCAATCTGTACAAAAATAATCACCATTAGCAACTAATTATCATAGATTATATAACTATTCATAAGCTATCATAATAATAGAATTTATATACTTGTTATATTTTACCTAAAGAGGGATGCACTAAAGTAGAACAATGGTTTTCATTGTGTTTATGACAATGTTGCCCAATACACATAGGTTGCTTCATGGTTTGTGAAAATACAATTAAGGTGTATTCCTTTTATAATAAGATGGCCAAAATGAATATTAAAATTATTCTATGTTGGACAGTTCAAACAAACCGTTATCAAACACGGGACAACTGAAAATTTGTATGCATCTTATCTTGTACATTTTGCCATAAGTTGAAACACTTGAACATGAATCTCACTTGCTAGTTCCTATCACTACATGCCTTTAGGTAAATCATTCAACTATTTTTAATATGTTAAAATTGTGGGTGTCAGACAATGGTAAAAATAGAATAAATCAGTATATGTGGGTCTCTTGTTGTTTTAGAATGAAATTGAGTGAGATTTGTTTTATTTTAGTTCAATTCTTCTATAGGAGTTTGTCTCGTCAACAAGCTTAACAAGCATGACTTCAAAAAAGAAGATATGTTTATTTGTCTTTGAGCTACTATATATTCAAATAAATAATAAATAAACATATGGTAATTATAGTTTACTTTATGGTTTACTATACTTGATTTTCTTATATCCCATATCCAATAAATGATAAATGAGCGTATGGTAATTGTAACACAATTTTTTAACTCATTTTTTTCATTTTCAACTGAACATTATGGTAATCCAATAGTCTTTTTACACAACATACAATATTTCAATCAAATATATACATCAATATAAAAACTTTGTGCCAATACTAAACATAGGTTTAAATAAATATATAAATCAATATAAGTCAGGAAACTTTGTGCCAATACTAAACATAGGTCTAAATATTAGACAACTACACATGTACACATGTATATTGAAATGTCCAAAGCCAATACTAAACATAGGTTTATTTTATTATTATTATTTATTTTTAATAATTTATTAATTTAAAATAATAATTAATTTTAATTATAAGATATTGGAATAAATGATTATTTAAAATTAAAAAAAATTAAATAAAATAATTTTATTTTTATTTTTATTTTTAAAAAAATTATTTTCTATAAAACGAGTTAGCCTATAAGTCTATGGGTTAATCTAGCCTAAATGGACTGAGCCAAAATAGATCTGATTTAATTTAGGCCATAAATTTAACTTTTACTTATTGTACTTCCATAATTTCTCCTTGCACCTCCATACCCCAAGACAAAACCTAAAATACTTTTCCTATAATTTTTTTTTTACCCTAATTCTTCTATTTGTTATAACTTCTGCACCTACATCCTCAACACTTCTTTCCTTTGGCTATTTGATTTTTTTGTTTTATCACCTCCATTGAAGGATTTTTCTAACCATTAAAGGTAAGTAATAGTTAATATTATGTATGAATTACATGTTTCTGCACTCAAATTGCATAAACATACCCAAATTACCCAATCTGAAATAATATCATAAAAATGATATTAAATTTCGAAACACTCAATCTGAAATGCATTCCTGGATTGACTTTTTTTGGAAATATATTTTGGAACACTTGTTTTGGAGGGTGCATTTCGGAAATCAATTCCAAAAAGATGGATCTGGAATGCATTTTCGGAAAATCATTTCCATAAATACATTACGAACAGTGCCTTCCATAATATATTTTTAGAAAATTAATTTCAGAAATATATTTTAAAACGTACTTTTTGGAATTTATTTCCGAAAAATCAATTTCAAAAATATATTCTGAAAAATGTGTTCGAAATATATTTTCAAAAAATGAATTTTGAAAATAAATTCTAGAAAATATGTTTCGAAATACATTTCAAGAATTCTATAGTTAAACGTGCTTGACTTGAGAGAAATTATAGAATGGGTGACTTCTGGGAAGTTCTCGAGAAAGTGTGAGTGAGGACAAAGTATACTGAAAAGTCTCGTATTGGGTTGTGAGAATAGTTGACAATTCCGTAGAAGTGGCTGGGAACATTACAAAATGCATTCCAGAAACACTTCCCATAACATGTTTTCGAAAAAAAAAAATCAGTTTTCTCACTCCTACAACGTGTTTTCAGAAAAGAAAAAAAAAATTGTAGCAAAACTTAAAAATCAGTCATCGAACAAAATCAGAAATAAATACTAATGAAAAAAATGAAAATAAATGTAAGAGTAAAAATAAAATAAAGATAAGTGTATGAGTAAAATGAGATTTAGTTTAATCGTGGAGTGTAAGGAGAAATTATGAAAATGCAATAAGTCCACATTTTTTTAGTTTAGGCTCACTTATTTCCCAATCTTTTAAACAGATTTATCGATCAAAGTCTATTTTTATTGGATTTATTGAAATCCTAATGAACTCTTAAACCATGATCTCGTATTAGGCTTGTATTCAATTCAACTCATCCACGCCTCGAGGAATACGGAGAATAATAAGGGTTTGGATTTGACCCTGCATTCAAGTTACTGTCATAACGTGAGAACTTTCAATTTCCTTATTCTTCGTGCGTGCGTGTGATACAACGAGTATAAAGTTGCAGAATATTTGCAGTGCTTATATATACTTCACTACTAATTTATCACACGTAAGAAACATAATACATAGGATATAGATACAGAATTCTCTTGAACTAACACTGATTAGAGTTTCTCTTTTGTCTTGTCTTTCAACACAAACAAGTCCTGCGACTGAGAAGAAGATGAACGTGGGACTAAGCTTTCTGATGTTTACGTGTGTTCTTCCAATGATGGTCTCAGCCATACGCCCCCACCTCACCCCTTTCTATGTAAAGGGTCGTGTCTATTGTGATCCTTGTCGTGCTGGTTCTGAGACATCCCTCACCACTTACATTGTTGGTAAGCCTTCTTCATCTTTGTTCTTTTACCACACTCCTCTCCTTACCACTCAAAAATTGTTACTTTTTCATGCAATACATACAACAACAACAAATTATGCTTTATATAATTTTTCTGTTTAAGTTTTTAACTAAAATTGCTTAACAATAAAATTAAATATTTTATTATGGATCTTATAGATGAATTATTTAAAACATAAAACAACTTTCTTTTAATTTTAAGCAATTTTCTTTATTTTTAAATAACTTAAATTTGAGATAATAAAATATTTACTTTTATTCTTAAACAAAGATCAACTTTTATTAGAGATGTTCTTACTTTCTTTATTAATATGACATTATTAAATTAAATAATAAGTAAAAAATATGTCTCTTTTGTAATTCGGCGTCAACTACTTATTATCATTTTATTCAAAATTACATAATTAAAACAAAAATCCATTGAATAAAAAGTTAAACTAATCAATATTTTTCAATTTTAACAAATCTCAATTGTGTTAATATTATACATCTTTCTATAGTAATATGTTTCGTTACATTTTTCATAAACATTTTAAAAAAGAGAAATAAACATAAACTTATGTCTAAATTTATTAAAAGTAAGATTTTTTTAAAATTACATATTAAAAAAATAGGAATGACCAAAGATCTATCTTTAACTATAAAAAATCAAACAAGAATATGATTCATCATAATTAACATAAATTAAAAATTTTAACTTATCCTACCATTTTTTTTATAAAATATAAATTTATATATTAAAAAAATAGGAATGTTTTCTAATTTTTTACTGGTTAATTAATAAATTTTATAGGATAAATTTAAAATATTTTTTCAATTATTTAATTATGATTAATAATTTAAATTAATTTATAAGTATTCAAGAATTTAAATTATATTATTATTGGATATTTATATAGTAAAAAAATATAATAAAACTATAATATTTTAAAATAATAGTTCTCTTTATTTTTATTTTAATATACGTATATATTTAAAAAATATATACGCGGATCAATTACAGATTCCACTCGATTTGTCTTTCTTTAAAAATAAATTTTGACACATTGTTTAATATTTTAACTTATGGAGAAATATGTATTTCAATTATATTTTTAATTTTTCAAAAACATACTCTCATATTTGTCGACTGAAAGAGGAATTATTTTTTATATAAAAGACATTTTGATTTCATTCCAGAATGCTACACCTGTGGCTTCTTATGACATGATCACTCCAATCTATTAATATTGATTGGTAGGTGTGGAGGTTACTCTGCAATGCAAGGACAAAATGAATGGCAACATTGTGTACAGCAAGAAGGATAAGAGTGATTCCTCGGGAACATACACCATTTTCGTGGACGCGAATCAAGCAAACCAAAATTGTGATGTGGGTCTCGTAACAAGTCCTTTACCTGACTGCAAAGAACCCAGTCCAGGACGTGACCACTCACGTGTCATTCTGAATCGCTTCAATGGTATTGCCACCAGTGATAGGTTTGTCAACAACTTGGGTTTCATGAAACAAAAGGTTGCATCTGCTTGTGCAAAGATTCTCAGGCCATACCCAGACTACGATGATGAATTAGTTCCACTCGATTCTTTTTTTTAATCTTTTGTTATCATTTCATCTTAGTGGCTACTAATTTCAATCATTGTAGGCAGCTTTTTCTTCGCTTTTGCATGCCCCTTATATAATTGGGATTGACAACTTTATTTAGTTTCAGGCTCTTCTCTATTTACACTTCTCAATTTACTATGGACAGTTCCTTCTTCTTTTTTATTATAAAAAATATTATAAAAACAATAAAAAAAAATTAGAATCTAGTTTTTATATCTTATTAAATCTTTAAATATGATTATCTTTACTCTCCATTTTGTTCATTCTTTGTACTATAATTTTTCACATCTTCATTTCAGAAAATATACTCTGAAATTTATTTTTGGATTTCTAGAATCATTTTTTTTAATATATTTTAAAAAAATACAATTTGAAAATACGTTTAAAAAATACTTTTTAAAACTTATTTTCAGAATAAATTTTTTAAAACAAATTTATACTAAAAATAATAATATTATTTTAAAATACGAGAGGGTTGGAAGAAAGAGACTTGTTATGTGTAACAAGACATATCCCTGATCCGTTTGTATTTGAATTGTAAATATTAATTTCGGCATCAATATTTATATCTAGAGAGGTTTTTGAAGAAATAAGATGGGGAAAGTAATAATGTTATGATAATAATAATTAAAAATATATTCTTATAAGTATTCTACTTTAAAATATCATTATTATAGAAATTAATTAAATCACGCTTTTAAATTAAGTTGAAGTCAAATTCTATTTTTTTAATAGAGATGGTCTTAAGGCATCTTTTTGAGTAAATATATTTTAATGAATAATTATTTTAAAAAATCAGCACAATTTGATTTTAATGATGAGTTGTGATAACTTTAAATTCTTTTAAAAAATCACAAACTTATAATAATTTTTAAAAATTGATGATATATTAGTTCTTGTTATTCTTTAAAACTTTTTCTTTGAACAGGAATGTTTTCTTTGATTATTCTTCCCCTAATACCATTTATCATTAGTATTGGATCAAGAACTTCGTTTATGTTTAACAAGAATTTTGTTATCATAATCTAAATAAATTAAGAACAACTAAGGTGAAACATATTTAAATGATCTTAATGTCCTAGAAAATTAGTTTCTTTACTTCCCACTGTAAAAACGAAACAGGAGCCTTAAATATCCACCAAGAGAAGCTCTAGACAAAGAATAAAAGGATTTTAAAAAAATAATAAAAACTAAACTAAATTTTTTTTTATCTTAAGTTAATTTTTCAATTCTCTTCTATAACTGTTCTAAATTTTTATTTTTAATTTGTGCATACATTAATTTTAGTTTATATAAAAAAAATCATTGTAAGAGTTTTTATTTTGACTTTTTTTTATAAAAAAAATGAAATAAACTTTTTCATAAATTAAAATTAGATTGTGTATAAATTAAAAAAAAATATTCTTTGGTATTAATAGAACCAAAAATTTAAGATATATATGCTTGTGCATACGGTAGGAATAAAGCTTAGAATTTTCTTAAATATGGATTAAAACTTAAAATGAAAAAAATAATCAAATGATTAATTGATTTATCTAATGTCAGGTTAATCCTTAAAATTATATTCTAATAATAGAATATATAGACTGATAGTGAAACTTTTTACGCATTCAAAATTAAAAAATAATAAATAAAAAAATCAAAGATGGAATCTCATTAAATCAATGTTCAAATAATCCATTTATCCAACTTTTTATTTTGTTTTTCTCTAACTAAAAAGACTTGGACTGTTGTGCTTGAGAATAATGGCTGCACACGTAGTTTTTGACAACAAAACCCTATCCGGTGTCAAAATAAAATAACTCTTTACCGAACTACATAAATTGTGCTGATAGAATTTTGGTACAAAACATATCAAACAACTAATTCTTCTGTTCTGCTCTGTGCCATTCATTATATTGACTCTTCTGCATTTTGAAGTGAGTTGTAGCAAATACTCAAATAACTCGTTTTTCCTCACAATAATCGACACCATTTTCTTTCATCAGTTAGTTGGTTGGTTTGAATAAATACGAGTAGCTAATGTATTACTCCGTCAACTACTACTACTTCCTTAAAAATTGCATTGCCTCCACCATCACCTCATTTTCTTCGCCACCACCCTCTTGTAAAAGGTGGCCAATAAATGTTCCTGCCTACTATCTCTTTCTCTCAATATATGTACATACTCTCCTCACTTTCACTTCACTTTCACATAAGTATATCAGTACATTTTTTTTTCTTGCTGTTTTCTTCGGCTAATTGTTGCTGGTAAGCTGAATGAATCACTCTCATGTAGAAAACAGAAGGGTCTTTTATGCTTTTTTCTCTCCTCGCGTGTCTTAACCCCGGCGCTAACGTGATTTTTTGTATGCATCCTCATAGATTTTCATTTTTTTAATAAGGGGTGTTTCGATTTCCCTATGTTTCACTTTCTTTTCCTGTCATTTCGGCATTATTGATGATCAACAACAGCATGTCTTCTAAGCTTGTGAGAGCTTTCTTTGTTTCTTTTCCATTGATTGATTCAAACATCGAGGGTACGTTTTGATGCTAATATGAAAAATAAACATCTACATTCATGATGAATAGTTTGTTTTCAATCTACAGAGAATGGCTGCTGGAGTGTATAACCAAGCAATTGGGGCTTTTCAATCCCATTCTCTCGTCAACAATTTTAATCATCAGCAGAAGTTCAACAATATTGGAAGACTGGTGGTCACAAAGGATTTTATCAGCAGTAACTGTTTGTCAAGAAAGAATTTTAGTGTAATTCAATGTATAGCTTCTCAAACATCTGAGGTTGACACAGCATCATCCTCTTCAAGAAGCAAAACTAGTGCCAGAGACACTCACACAAAGTCAAGTAAGACAAACTCTGCTCTCAATTGACATTCAGTATTGCTTAACATGTTTGTGTCAAAGCTTATTCATGTGGATTGCACCTTGAAGTTTGATTAACCATGTTTTAGTTGATTGCCACATCCAAAAAAGTTGAAACCATCGGATGTCTTCTAACTGCTATTCAATTTATTCCTACCCAGATGAAGCAGCTTTGATCCTTGTTCGACACGGCGAGTCCTTGTGGAATGAAAAGAACTTGTTCACAGGTTGTGTTGATGTGCCTCTAAGCAAGAAGGGTATAGATGAGGCAATTGAAGCAGGCAAAAGAATTAGCAGTATTCCTGTAGATCTCATTTTTACATCTGCTTTAATTCGAGCACAAATGACAGCCATGCTTGCCATGACACAGCACCGCCGCAGGAAGGTAACATGAATACTTCCAGTGTTAAAAATAGACATAACATATCAACTAACTTTTACTCGAGAAAGTTCAGAGCATATGCATAAGCATTGGCTGTACCTAACAACCAGTGCTTAATTATGAAGGCAGGGGAGTTTAACTGTACTTATATAGGTATCATAATCTAAAACATAAAAATTGTTAGGTTATGCGATATATATTGCAGATATATTTTTATGTAGTACTGCATTAATCTGTAGTTTAAAATATTTGAAGTATATTCATTTGCTACAATATTTGTAGTTTAAATGCATTTGTCTAAACTATTAGTGATCAAACTTCCTGCAGGTGCCCATCATAGTGCACAATGAGAGTGAACAAGCAAGGGAATGGAGTCAAATTTTTGGTGAAGATACAAGAAAGCATTCCATTCCAGTCATAACAGCTTGGCAATTGAATGAAAGAATGTAGTAATCTTTTTCCTACTTTCAATGTTTGCAACTCCTTCTTTACAAACTTGTGTACAAAATGTAGTCTATATATACCATACTTGTTATCATTTCAGGTATGGGGGACTACAGGGTCTCAATAAGCTACAAACAGCAGAAAGGTATGGGAAGGAAAAAGTACATGAGTGGCGTCGAAGTTATAGCATACCTCCCCCAAATGGTGAAAGTTTGGAAATGTGTGCTGAAAGGGCAGTTGCATATTTTAGAGACCAAGTATGCGCTTGTTTAGATTCTTTGTATCATGTTCTTTTTTATAAAAAATAAAAATAAAAAATAAAAAGGAACAACGTATTAGTAACATGACATGATGACAATCTCCTTTTTTTTTCTTTTTCTCTTTTTATGCTGTTATATTCTACATGTTCTGTCATTATAATAATTAATAAGTCAAAGTGTTGTGTGTTAAAACTTGATATTGTAGCATTTATAAGGAGCTCACTCCATTGACATTATACTGTAGATTGAACCTCAACTCTTATCTGGAAAGAATATTATGATTTCAGCTCATGGGAATTCACTGAGATCCATTATTATGTATCTTGACAAACTAACTTCCCAAGAGGTGATTGGTCAAGTGTTCAGAATCATCACAATTTCTATGTTAACATGTCATAAATAGCCATGATTTTACTTTTATTTCACATTTTGACAGGTGATTAGTTTAGAATTGTCAACTGGAATTCCAATGCTTTATATTTTCAAAGAAGGAAGATTCATTAGGAGGGGGAGTCCAATAGGACCAACCGAAGCTGGAGTTTATGCCTACACTAGGGTAGGCACCTATATTATACTTCATTTCATCTTGCTATATCATGATTCCTCTATTAGAAGCTTTTATTTAAGAATTGATATATGTTGATTTGGAAAGATGAAATAGCACCTGTAACCACAAGAAACATATGTAAAGAATAAATTTCAAAATAGTTTCATTATTGAGAGCTAGCTATGGTTTAAAACTACTAGCTTATCTCTTGTGAATTGATAATACAAGGTCTGTGCTTCCATATTCAGCACCTTTTTCTGTCACCAAATGTTTATTTCTTTGGTTCTTTTCAAAAGAAAAAAGTTCAAAGATAAGTACAAACTTTTAGTCAGGGACCAGGTATTATGTTGGTAAAATTATGTTCGAGTTTTTCATTTCCTCAAATCGTGTTAACCAAATATCCAAGGCACTGATAATGTATTTACCTGGTTATAGCGTTTGGCTCTTTACCGGCAGAGGTTGGACGATGTGCTTCAATAATGCTTTTTTAAGGTTAGATAATAGATATACACCCACTTTCATCTGTTCATGCTTCTTTCTTAGTCTACATTTTTTTGGTGCTCTTTTATTATCATTTTATTATCTTCGTTTCAGGGAATATACATCACACACGTGAATCATCTGGATAGTAGAGTTACAAGAGGGGTAAAACAATATTTTATCGATATTAGTTATATTGACCATAAAAAATATCTTAAAATTATATTGCTTGAAAACTTTAGTACATATTTTGAGTTTTTAACAGTTTTGAGCTAGTGGATCAGAATCCATGCTCCACTCTAGTATTGTTTTCATATGGTGAATGAGTAATTGCTTCCATTTGCCTAAATAAATAGATCATTGAATCTTAGAAATGGCACGTGTAGTACACAAATTGTAAGCGAGTAGCAATGTGAAATTTTACTGGAAATATTGAATGTTTTTAGTATTTTTTTTGTCCTTTATAATTTTTTATTTTTAGTTTTAAAGCAATTTAGTTAATATTCGTACTGGAATTGTGCCCATAGTATATGTATATGTAGAAAGAGAACGAGAAAAAGGGGAAGCTTGAAGAAAAAGGAAAATCCTTGTGTATATTAGAAAAGGAAGAAAAATAGGAAAGGAAAGAGAGGGTAAGACAATGGTAGAATAAGAAGTGAAAAGAAAAGAAAAACTATTCAGGTAACAAGGTAAGAGAGGGGGAAAGAGGTATATCAACAGTATAATCATATGGATGAATTATTGTCAAGATATACAACTTATCAATTGCAGTATAGTATTTCAATTAAATAAAAGTCGATCTGACATGGAATGATTTTAATAAAAATTCTCAATTATATGCTTACTAAGTGGATTAAAATAAATTGAGTTTTGCATAAAGATTTGAATTAAAATTTAATGACAAATAATTATAAATTGTTGAGAAAAAATCAATTAAAGATATTTAAGATTGACTTCCTTTCTTATCTCTCTTTTGTAATGACTATATCAATTAAGAACATTAATTAACCTAATAATGTTGATGTCACCTACTCAAATCATTCATGTTGATTCCTCACACATGAAATTCATAAGAAAACCTAATAAATGTTGATTCCTCACACAATTAGGAGATTTTCCAACATTAAGTTTAAGGTGTTAAACAATTGATACATTCATTTCATTCCTAACAATTAACGTAACAAATATTCTTATCATGATCTAGGGTTCAAGATATATTTTCCAATCATATCCTAAACATCAAGAATAAATCATTCCAAAGCACAAAGGATAAGAATAACAACGTCAAAACATAGATTAATATCTCAAAATATCACCATGATACAAAAGAGTTCAAAGGAAGTGCACCAAATCCTAAGAGAATGAAATTAGTCACTCATGTTGGCCATTACAATGTTCCAAATGTGGAAGAAGTGAAGAATTGACGAAAATTAGACGAAACCTAGCAGTAATAGCGCCTCTTCTCCTCAAAACCGTTTGTTTTTCTCAAAACACATCTTATCTTTTTATAAGAAAAATTGAGTCTCGTGTATTTCGCTCAAGTGAAAGTTTTCTATTTTCACTTGAGCGAGGGAATTTCAGAGAAGAATAATTAACATTCGCTCAAGCGAATTTAACGGCGCTTGAGCAACTGACTTTCAGAGAAGAATAACTGACATTCTATACTGAAAATCTTCTTCTTTCTTCCCGTTTTACTCCAATTATGCTGACAATTATGCTCATTACTCTTGTATCAAGATATTCTCGAATTTATCCTACATTGGAAGAAAAATATATTAGAATTAATATAAGTTAAGTGATTTCATAACCATTCAAAGCATAATTATATAACTTTTTACTACTTAACAATAATTGCTCTAAATCCTAACTAAATTATTTTGTTGTATTTGATATGGGTAACGGGTAACTTAGGATTCAATTCTTTTTGTGTCGTACATCATCTACATACTTTTCGAACGTATGCCTCATGAGATTTTTTTTTAGATGTCTCACTCACAAACAGTTATGTTCTCACATTCTAACTTTTTTTCATACGAATATTTGAGAAAAAAAAATAAATTTCTGAGTTAAAATTAACTTGTGCACTTAAAAATAAAAGTTTAGAGAAAGCCTTATAGAGAAGTTGGACTAAACATACTCTATGTTATTCTTATATTAATGATGTTCTCAGATTTTTCTTATATTGTGATGTGATGTTTAATTTAACTAAAACATGTTTCCATTTAAATAGTGTTTTAACTAAAAAAACATGTTTATGTTTTCGTACTTTTTAACTTCGAACCTGAAACAACAATTTTTCCATCGTGCAATAGAGAGAGAGAGAGAGAGAGAGAAAGAGAATGGGATGATGAGAGAGTTTGCGGAGGAGAGGGGGATAGAGTGCGCGGAAAATGTGTAGAATAGGAATTTTAGATCAACAAAAACAAAAGATGCGATGTAAACATAACATAAAAGGGATGAAAAGGAGCATCGATAACCCCATATATAGTACTTGTCTAGAGGAGAGGAGGAAAAAGAGGCCACGGAAAAGCAAAGATCTATTCTTTTTGTGTTCTATAAAAATTGGAAAAAGTTAGTTTGAACTGTAAAAAAAAGTCCGCTCGATTTAACCTTTCTGTAATGAAAGGGGACACTTCCGTGATTAGATAATCTAGAATGTAAAACTTTCACTCCGGATTGATCTTTCTAATATAATAAAAAGGCGATGTATATTGCTTTTTATAGGGGAAGAATAAAAAAAGGCCGAAAGAAAAAGAGAATGGATGGATAAGGCCTACGAGAAAAAAGACCAAAATTAAAATGAGGGAAAAAAAAAAAAAGAGAGAAAATGACAAATGGCAGCCGACGATGGTTAAAAGAGAAAATCGTTTTCTTCTTTCTCATCAGCAATTTATTGTATTGGGACAAGGTTCATCTTTCGAACCGAGAGAGTTCATCTTGGTCAAGGTAGTTAGGAACTTAAGATAGACATGAAAAGATTTAAAGCACACATGGTCTAATACTACAACTTGGTTGAGATAAATCAAATGTATAAAATAAAAAGGAATATATCTACGGTTGGTTTGATTTTAAATACCTTATAGTCTCAACTATTTTTAAATCAATGGTGAATGTAGGGTAATACGAACCTGCTTGCTATAAATAACTTGTCCATCCACCGAGGATGGGAAAAAAATTGTCTACCACAAGAGCAGCAATACACTCCTGAATGCACAAGCAAGCATTCCATGCATGTTTTATAGGTGAAAAACTAGAATTGCCAAAGCAAAAACATCTGTGATCACGTTAAGTCCAGCATCAAGTTAACAAAAGGTCTCTTGATTCTAACTTCAAAATACAATGTCACAGCATCATGATACCCCCACTGCCTGTATGTTTTTTCAAAGGAATGTAATTTCTCATTTTAATCTGCACTGATATTTCTTTCTCCTTCATTAACCAAGCTTTTCTGGCCCGGGTTAATGATACCTGTGTCCACCTCGGGGTCAGGGGAAGAGTTTAGTTTCTCATTGTCCGAAGCATCAGTATCTGACTCTAACCTAGTAGAATCTAAAGAAGGAACATGATTTGGAACTGATGATGGAGAGTTTTCCCTACTCCAGAAAGCAGGAATCTTCTTGTCATCCTCTTTCATTCTATCAGCATATTTATTTATGTCAAATCCTGTATCATCTTTTCCACCAAATGCAGATTCAAGTTGGTCAAAATCAAACAAATCCTCCATAATCTTCTTGGTGTTCTGATCGTCAGAGTATGCGAACTTGACTTTATTATAAGTCTTAAGCTCTAATATCGGCTTTACCATCTGCAGAAATACACATTTTACCATAAGACAATGTACGACATTAATGATGAGAATTATTAGCAGCTATAAATAAACACACTAATGAAGAAAGATGAAAACTTGTATTCTGTCCATGACAGACACACACAAAGGGAGGGAAAAATAAAGCTTGGATCCAGAGCTTCAATTCTGGACCAAATGGACTCCATTTTCATCTCATCTTGAGTGGCTTAATACACCTTTACAGGAGTTTCTCGACAATAAAACATCATTTTTGGACTCACTTTAGTCTAGAATCTAAAGTAGTTGCACTACATTATCAACATATGGCTTCATTCAATACTTCACAAAATCAAAATAGATAGACAGGACTAAAAGGAAAGAGGCATGAAGTGAGATAAGAAAAACATTCATTTAATTACCATGAAAAATGGCTCAAAGAACTTAGGTGCGTTGTAAAGTATTGCAAGACCCAGGCGTTCAGGATAATGTTCTTGTAATACATGGGCAGTTTCACGCGTAACCTTGATTGATATATGTGACATATTGAAACCCTGGAAATCAATCAACCAGACCATTTGTTCTTGTTCTGGTGGAAGATTAACAATAGCATTCTCCATGCAGTATACCAAATATTTAATTTGTCCTTTAGTTGACTTTGAGTTCTGCACCCAAAAAAGAAAGAAAAAAAGTTGAAACATGAATAACATTCCTCTACAAAAAAAATATAAGACTTTAATCAGATATGCAGGTACAATCTATTAAATCTGATATCTGTGTCAATGCAGGGAGCATAGGAATGTTTTCTGTTGGAAACAATATAAGTCAGTTTTGATTTAATTTCAAATATGGTATCAAAGTCTATCTAGTCTTCAAGTCAAGCCAAATGCATATGTTCAATCCTATGTGTCCAGGTTTAGTCTAATAATGTGATATCAGAATCTATCTAGTCTTAAACATGGATAACCAACAAATGTTGTCTTGCAAATTTCATACTCTAAATGCCAAGTCTTAGGAATAAGTGGAGGGGAATGTGAAGATGTTCCACATAGATTAGGAATTTGGCAGAAATTAAACCTGAAATGTTAGGTGGACAAAATATGTTTGAATCGATCTCTCATTCCCATCCTACCATTTACATTTATTTTCACATCCGACCTAGAGATAAATATGGAGGTCAGAACTGATTTTCAGAAGATACCTGTCGACCAGGTCTCATTACTAGGACAGTTCGCCCTTGCTTGTCAATATAATTGGATCTGTATATTTTTCCTGTCTCTGCTTCATGAGCAACATCTTCCTGCATCAACAAAAAATATACATCAAACAACTTCCATCAAAAGATAATTACGGAAAGAGTGATGGTTTGACATAACTATTCAGATCATTAACATTATACGTGAGTCAGTAGATAAAAGTGTTAAAAGAACTCATTTAGACAATATGGTATTCAGTTGACAGTAGTTCGGACAAGATATTTATCAGAATCAGATATCCACACAAGGAAAATGGATCCAGTTAAGAACCTTTAATAATGTTTATTAAAGGTAAACAAGGGAATAAATGCAACACAAAATAATCAGGTCAACATAACTACATAGAAAGATTTTTGTTAGAAATAGCAATACCAAGGACAGATTCTTCCCTGCAATGCATTACGTCTAAAAAGTCAGACAAAATAAAAATGATGCAAGGGAGCCACTCACCCAACGGATTTCTTCCGGTTTGTTTTCTTCTCTCCATTTGAGGGTCAGTTTCAACATTTTAGCTGCTTTCTTGACATTCCAATTCCGAGCCCTTAAATACCTCGAGATGCAGGCATCAGAACAAAAAATGGATGCCTTACCAGACTGTGGCCCAATTAACCTTCTCACCTCATTGATCTAGAAGGAAGCAAATTATTATGAGCTATAACGCTCCTTTGCTCAAAAGGTTGTAGTTTAATATTTACAAATTACCTCTCAAAACAAGGAAAGAATATCATGGATACACCAAGAAAAAAATTACTGGACATACCAATGCCTGCTGTTCTGGTGATGTTAACATTTTCTCCTGGCCGTAAGAGGCCATTTTCTTTGGCTCCACACTCATATTGGTCTGGTAGAGACTCTCACTAAAGATCAAGATAGAATACTGCAGAAGACAATGCCAATTTATCAGTAAGTACTCACCCATCTTCAAAATAATTACAGCATACCAGAGTCTAGAAACAAAGCTACAATTTTATTCAATAGCTCATCTCGCAGACAGGCTATTATTCTTGTATAATTACAAGCTGTAAAGACAACAAATTGTGTGCCACTCAATGAAATTATGATAGCTAAACTTTGACAATGTGAAAGAGAATCCATGGGAGATATTTTTTACTCTGGTTTATTTGTTTCATAAAATGACACCATTCATTTACTCAGGATAGTTACTTATGGGTAAACAATATATATTAGAGGTTCGTCATAAATTTAAATAATACAATTTTCTCTTCATATAAAACCTGGATAGAGATATGACATGAGACACAACTACATATAATGTAGTACAGAGATACAATGCGACACAAGTAGAGGAAAACAATTAAAAATTATAGGACATAGCATGGCCAGAATACAATAAATACATTAACAAAAAACACAAATAACTGGAATATAACAATTGGGAGCAAAACTACATTATGGCAAATGGGAGGGTGAGGGGACCACAATCCAAAGCAATAAGAACAACAAAATAGACCATTAGATTATAACTTTGAATCTTGTTTATGGTTGTATGACCTAGATTTCTAGTTCTCATTTTTTTCACAATAAGAGTTTTCGCTTGATTTGCCCCCATATGCGCATGTGAGAGTGTGTGATGCAACCAACTAAACTAGTTACTAATTTTCTTAGTTTCACCTGTGCTTGGAAGAATGACACAACAAAAATACCAGTCAAACTTAATCAATGTTTACTTCATATTTCATCAAAAACCAGTTGCTCATAAAGGAAACACAAGTAATCTGCTGCAGGCTCAAGAGAATCTTGATAGACTAGACTTTAGAGTCTGCCCATTTTCACCCAATCGAGACTCAGAAGAGCACAAATAACTAACATCTAATCCTTGTTACATCTTGTCAAAAAGTTTAATCTTATGATGCATGCACGAGTATCTATTGGAAATCTAAGATAAAAACTAGTATTACGTGGGGATATCATATTTCTTAAATTTACGATGTGAGTACAATAAGATATATAGAACAGAAAGAGTCTTGCCCACTAGTGATATTATCTACATTAATTGCACAAAATCATTAGACTCGATTAAAAATCAAATTGTCATGGACATTATTCATGGTCAAATTTTTCTTTACAATTTTCATTATTCAATAACAAAAATAATAACAATAATTATATACGCATACTTTTATGAAAAAGAAAAAAAAATCATCGCAAAACAATGTCAATAAGAAATAAATAGTGAGGCGATTACATGATGAATGCGGTAAAGTGGAGAACATAGTTTTTATTTTTATATTTTAAGCATTAATCATTTCAAACAAAATAGAAGGTTAGCTTTTTACAAAATTCTCATGATATATCACTTTTGTTGGGACAAAATTAAAAAATTAAAATTACAGGATTCAAGCTAACAACATCTCCGACTGAGAATCTTCTATAGTTACATATATGGGGTACAGAAAATATATTTCAATGTCTAAATTTTTTTTCTGAAATCACAAATCTTTCCCAAATTCAAAAGCTGGTTGAACTAGTTTGACTTAGATCCAGCCATGTTTCGTATTCAAACATTATAGGGCCAATCATGATTCAACCACAAATGTAATATATTGAATAAATCGAACCACGACCATAAGGTCTAGCCAATTCAATCACCCCTCGGTTCTGCAACAAGAGTTCAACACAGATTCGTTGTTTCATCCCTCAGTAAAATGAAAATAAATAAATAGATAACCCTGTAGTTACGAAAGAGAGCTTTGGCGCATAGAGTGGTATTTTTCTTGAGTTGATGCCAGACTACCGTAAAACACAAATGGGTACCAAAATTGACCAGAGGCTGATATCCAGGGTTCAGATTCGGAAATCTAAAGGAGATTCCAATATTCATATAATTAGCAAAAGGATTTCAAAGAATGTGGATTCGAATAAGCACTGAGAGAAAGGAGCCACGAGAACGAAATTCGGAGAAAACAATGAGAGTAGATGGCTAACCTGAGCGTCTTTGGTGCGATTGTATCTGAGGTCGATGGAGAACGACGAATACCCTCAGATAATGGAGGAAGTCAACGGAGTTTCTTTTGATGTGTATAAGGTAATGAAATGAGAAAATGAAAATGAAAATATGAAAATGAAAATGAAAAGAAAATGAATTGGAGATAGCTTTTAGCTATGCTGACGGAGGAAGGTCTGTGAATGATTCCAAGACTTGTTTAGCGCTCAAGCAGATTATGTGATGTCGAACTGAATCCCTGTGATGACCCCACGTGTAACCAACCCATCCCCTGTCACATTTTCAACTCTTTTTCATCTGGTCCCTTCTAATTAATTAGCACATGATCAAATGAATATAAATAAAAAAGTTAATGTAAAATAATTTACAATACAATAATTGATAAATTCAAATATTCACAACAACAACTTATAAGATTAATATATATATATATATATATATATGTAAATTATATTTAAATATATTATAATTATTTTTTCTAACTACGATTTGAATCAATCAATTTTTTTAGATAGGTTTAATTTTGAAAAGATTAAATGTCAAGATATGTAATCAATTAATGTAAGATTTATTCATTTAATTAATATTTTGAATTTGAATTCTTTTATTGTACAATGTAGTTAGATATTAAAAATATATCATTTTTAATAGGCTGATTTGAAAATAAAGTTAAAGTGATTTCAATTATACAAATATTATTTTAAGTAATTACAATATCAATCAAATATATACAATAATTTAATTAAGATGTATTAATGATGTAAAAGTTTTTTAAGGGTAGATGTATATTATATTATGTATGATAAATTTATTAATTTTATAATAATTAATTTTAAATTTACATGTAAAATTATTTTTTATCAGTTAACAAAGTAAAATTATATATACAAATTAAAATTTACATTTAATATAAAAAAAAACAAAAAATATATATAAAGCAAGAGGTTGGTCGTGGAAGAGTAGCAGGTAATAAATTAAAGGCAATCTTACCAACTCCAACACTATTTTGGAAAGATTTTGATGTAATTAAGGCCATACTTATGACTTAAAAACTGTATTATTAAATGAATAAATTATGAATGATTTTTTTGTCAGTACTTAAATTATATAAATGTTATTTATAATAAATATATCTTTAATAATTGTATCATAATGTATATTATATATAGATGTTTAATTCTCATTGATAATATATTTTGAAAACTGAATATCTATAAAATATAATAATGTTAATTTAATTATGTGAAAAATTTCATACATATCAACGTTGTGATTGAAAAATTTATCTTAATTGTTTTTTTTTTCTTATAAAATATATTAGAGCAGTGCCAAACAACTATCTCATATAACCCTTTTTTATTAATATAATAATAATAATTATAAGATTTAATACAAATAAAAATAAATTAAAATTATTATTATAATATTAAAAATGAATTATTTTTAAAATTGAATGAATTTAGGTTCTCAAATTATCCTTTCCGAATGTATTAATCATTGTTTAGTTTTTTTTTTAAGTTACCTCCCTCTTAAATTATAATCCAATAATAATTTTTTTAAAATAAACCAGTAAATTGTTTATTGATGTATTATACATGGACATATTTTAACATCAAAACTTAAGATATAAATTGAAAGAGAATTATACACAAGTAAACTATAAACAGTGTGACGATGGATTAATGTCTTACACAAAAATAAACTATAATACAATGTGTTTTCATTAATAATAATAATAATAAATATTTATTTTAGAAAAAATACATTTAAATTATTATATAAATAAATTCAATATATATAAATTTTACTTTTCCATCAAAACAAAAATCGAAAACAGCATAATTGTCTTTATGTCTTCTCATAATAAATTATTCTTTTCATCTTGCGTTGTTTTGGTATTTATGAAAACATTAGCACGCCTAAATACAATTCTCCTTAAAAGAAACAGGAATATCAATAAAGAGGGATTATCATGTATTTAATTTAAAACTAAAAACATGGTCTTTATATATATATATATATATATATATATATATATATATATATATATATATATATATATATATATATATATATATATATATTCTAATTATAACACAAGTTTAAAGTTTTGTGTAATAATTCGAAGATCCTCTTATTAACATCATATATTATTAATAATACAACTTGTTTCTTCCATTATATACATTAGTTATATATAAAAGATAAAAAAAATTAACAATTAAGTCCTTTAAACTTATTAAGATTTTAAAAATGTTTTAAATCATTATTATTGAGAATAGTTAACATTTAGTCATATTTAAATAATAATAATTTGTTACTTATAAATTAAAATATTAATAATATCACTTATGATAGTTGTAATCTTTTATTTAATATTTAAGTTTATATTAAATAGGATGCTGCAATTATTAATATTATCTATATTTTAATTTATAAGTAACAAATTATTATTATTTAAATAAGACTAAATATTATTTAGATAATTAAAATATTAATATATTTAAAGTACTTAATTGTTAATTTTTTATATATATAACTTAGATAATGGAGAAAACAAGTATTATTAATAATATATGTGATGTTAATAAGAGCATCCGTTTGAATTATTACACAAAGCTTTCAACTTTTTCCATAATTATATATATATATATATATATATATATATATATATATATATATATATATATATATATAAAGATCATATTTTTAGCTTTAAATTAAATAAATGTATAGAAGGACCTTCTTATATAAATCTTCTAAAGCAGGTTGACTTATCTATAGTATTGTAAGACAAGTTTTCTATCAACATTTAATTGAGATCCTTGTAAGCATATTATAATAAAAATAATATAAGAATTATTAAATAT